CCCAGATGCTCCTGGTCGGCTCTGCACAGAGAAGCTTTTAGTCTCCATCAGCTGCTGCAGCTCTGACGAGTGTGAGACTAAAAATAAGTTAGAAATGACATGAAATGAGGCGTTTTAGTGTCAGATTTGCAAAAGTACGTTGGAGCTTCATCCCAACTACGTTTGTTTGCTTGAGTGATAATGAATAAATGAGTGGAACTGAACCGTTTATTTCTTGTAGTTTTATCATAGAAGAGATCTTTTGAATCACAGCCAGCACTTTGTCCACCTGGACCTCCAGTCCGACGCCCCAGCGCTGACTTACCGCCTCTCCCAACACACACTCGGTTGTATATACACAGACGTAGACTCACAACAGCGGACTTATTGGCAGAGGGGCTGAAGCAACTTCTGACCCTGAGAGGTTAAAAAGGTGTTTCCTTCGAGCTCGTTGAACACTTCGGCTTTGTCTCCTCAGACGGCCTCCTGTAAACAAACAGCACTTAAAGCCTGAACGGCGGCTGCAGCTGCTGCCATGTTCAGTCCGAGGTCTGGCTGTGAAGGACTTTAATAGCACAGTGTTGTAAGTCACACTCACAGTCAGGGAACATTTCTGTGTCTCTGGTTTGTGGGCCGTGAGTCCTAAAAAAACTGACTCTCGGAGAGGACGACAAGCGCCACTTCGTTCTGCCCTTCTTTAATCCTTTGACTTAAAATTCACTATATGGACCAACAGACCAAACTTTAATAGTTTCATTTCCTACGTGCTTGTAGATCTGGAGTTATGTCCACCAGCTACGATTTACCGATGTTCCTTAAACACCACACTTTCACTGGTAAACCCCAAAGTTTAATGATGTTCCCTTAATGCACCACGTCCATCAGTGGACGCCACATTTTAGAGATGTTAATAAACCCTTCTCATCCACTGATGTTTCTTAAATACCTAATTTCCAGAGGTAGACGCCATGGTTTACAGAAGTTCCCTAAATGCCTCGCACCCATCGGCAGAGGATAAAGTTTACAGAAGTTCCCTAAATGCCTC